AGAGGGAATGCCTTCAATTTTTCTCCATTCAGAATGATGCTAGCCTGAGGCTTAGCATAGATTGCTTTTACAATATTGAGGTATGTTCCTGTTATCCCTAGTTTTTCTAGAGTTTTGAACATAAAGGGATGCTGTACTTTGTCGAATATATATTGGCTCCACACCCACGAATTCAACCAATGACAGTCAAAAATATTTGAAAAAAATTGCATCTGTATTGACCATGTACAGGTATTTTTTTCTTGCTATTATTTCTTAAACAATATAGTATGACTACTATTGGCATAGCATTTGTGTTGTTTTAGATATTTAAAATAACATAGAGGTAGGTTAGAGTATATAGGAAGATGTACATAAGTTATATGTACACTGTATACCATTTATAGAAGGAATTTGACATTTATGGATTTTGATTATCTTTGGGAAATCATAAAGCAAATCCCCCATGAATGCCAGGGGCAACAGTACATGCATTTTTAAACATTTATATGAAACATGAATATTGTGTCAAAGTTGCATTATTGTTTATAATTAACCTAGATAGTTTTTCATTGTTTAAGGATTTACAGAGAAGTACTATATAATTTATTTATAATTTTAAAATATACAAGGAATAGGTCATAGAAAATTTTTTTGAATGGTAATCAAAGGCACTAACAATGAAGGTTTCCTGACCTTCTTTAACAAGTTGTTCATTATGCTAGGAGGATTGTGTGATTGAAAAGATCCTCAAAACTTAGTGTGTGAGTGAGTGAGTGTGTGTGTGTGTGTATGTATGTGTGTATAGACAAAGAATTTAGAGAATTGAATAGACACATTATATGCACATTAATTCCTATCTAAAATATAAGTATGCAGTTTAGACATTAGGATAAAATACAATGCTGGGGCAGACTCCTAGAAGTTGTTATGGTTTGGATTTGAAGTGTCCCCCAAAGACTCATGTGTTCAAGGCTTGGTCTCCAATGCAGCATTGTTCAGAGTTGGAGCTTTTGGGAAGTGATTGGATCATGAAGGCTCTGACCTCATCAGTGGATTAATCTATTGATACCTGAATGAACTACTAGAAGGCAGTGGCAACTGTAGGAAGTGGGACCTGGTTAAAGGAAGTAGCTCACTGAGGGTATGTCTTGGAAGTAGGTCACAGGGCTTTGTCCCTGCTCCCATCCTGTCTTTGCTTCCTTACTGCCATGAGCTGACAGTTTTCCTTCTGCCACATCCCTTCACCAGGATGCTGTCTTTCCTCAGGCCCAGAGAAACAGTGCAGCTGAAACCATTAGCCAAAATAAATCTCTAAGTTGTTTTTCTCAGGTATTTGTCACAGTGACAAAAAGCTGACTAACACAAAGGTTAAGGGAGAACAAGTCTCAGGAGATTTCTCTGAGAACAAAAGTATATAATAGAGGCTCAAGCTATTTGGGAACAGGCCAAAGCAGAAAAAGCAGAGAAGGTAACTGCCAGGGAGTCATTAGCCATGGCTCCAAAGGCAGCAATTATAGATCTTGAAATGCCACAACCAGGGCACTCCAAGTGGTGGCACAGAGGTGATAGTTCTAGGAATGGGCTTCTGTTCTCTGCCGAGGATTGGGGTATTCACACCCTGAAGATTAGTGCCTGAGAAAGGGTGAAGGATGCATCATGATGAAACTGCAGCCAAAGCAGCCTCTGAAGAACTTTGAAAAAACTGTGGTCTGGATTGCGAAGCAGCACACATGTGAGAGCTTGCATACAGAAGAGGGGATTTTGAGCATACTGACTATTGGTCAAGACCCTACATTCTGGAGCATTTGAATCGTGGCTCTGGTTCCTTCTGGCTGTGTCTTTGGGAAAATTGTTTAACTTCTCTGGAGTCTCTATTCACTAATTTAAAAATGTAGATTAAAAATATTACCTTATAGGTTGATATGACGATTAAATACATTAACTATGAAAAGAACTTGGAGCAAGGCCTGGCACATCATAAGTATTATATTAGATGTTAGCTATTGTTATTTGTATTTCTATACTTATACTTAAGTTTGGATATTTAAATTGCATTTTACCTTGTATTTAATGGGCTTGTTTCACATTCAGTCATGAGGGGGTAGGAATATGTCTCCTGCTTTACTTGGAAGAAATTGATGTAACTGACCAAGATATTAATTGACATGTAGGATAGTATGTAACTCAGTTATAAATTTAGTACAAGATATGACATGTTCTGTCGAATTAGGGAGGAAAAGAAGATCAATGAGTTACTGGAATAATGAGATGTTTCATGGATGAAAGTACTAATTGTCCAGATATCAGGGATGGGTGGGACTGAAAGTTATCAGAGACACCCCCCCTCTAGAAATATTGTGATTCTGTATATAAATTAAATAGATAAAGGAAGAATGATTGTACATTAGGAAAGATCTTCTTTAAGAATAACAGAAGGGGGGGATATACCTTGAGAAGACCATTAGGTGATGGGAGCCTAGGAAGTAAGAGCTAGGAAATGGAAGCCAAGTAATATTATTAAACAGAAGAATAACCTGCTGTGTTTACAGAACAAGATGCCTTTTAAGTCTGCAATGGAGAACAAGTTCTTTCTCTAAAAGTGTTCTATAGAAAGTTCTATAAGAAAGTTTAATTTGCAGAACATATAGCATAACATCCTCAAGTGTGACGATTAACTTGGCAGAGGTATGCAAGTGGGATAATGAGGTCTAGCTCATTGCCATGAAGTTACCGGCTTAGATCTATTCACATTGTCTCATGTCCTGGTCCTCTTAAATTGGAAGAGGAAATGAGTCACCCTAGGCAAACTGTCCTGTATCCAAGACTGTGCTCTCGACACATCTGGGTGTGTCAGATGAAGGAGAGAAATGAAAAGGGACGGGACCCTGGCAGACAAAGTCTGTTTGCATTTTTCCTTTGACCAGGGCCTGAAAGACCTTTTTTTCATCTGAATCAATATATAGCTTTTCTTGATTTCTAAGTGGCAGGAAAGATGATCAGCAAACTGCAGTACTGTAATTGTCTAACTAATGATGCATCTCAAAAATAGGTCCTGCAATCCAACTATCCATTTCCTTACTTTACCCTTTCTGACCTTCTCTGTGTAACTCCTCTACCTCCTTCCCTGGTCCCACTGACATGTCTGTCATGCCACAAACCATTTCAAGAAAAGGAGTTCCACTCAGATCTTGGGATAATCTGAGGAGCTATTTTTGGTACCATGCCAACCCACTCATGTTGGATGGAGTTATTTGGACCGGGGGTGGGAAGCTGGAGTGAAAGGAATTAATTTCTACTGATGTGGTTCCTGGAGCTACGTTGAGCTCCCAAGACCTCTAGACTTAGTGTTGAGTGTCTTCCTGTTCCTCCTGAAGCTAGATGGTGACCCTTTCTCTGAGTTTTCTCACACAAAGTCCCCATCCCTATTTGTTGAGATAACTTGGGATCTCTTGATCTTTGAAACAAAGGGTCTAAAATGCCTATCCAAGTCTTAAAGCTAATGTCATTGACTGCAATCATTTGTCAATATTTGAGATTTTTGTTAATGTAAATAAACAAATTCTTCTTCCAGATATAACTGTACTATTAAAGGACATTTTTCAAGACTATAAAAAACTTGCTGTATTTTCCTATTGAATCTAATGGCAGACTTTTTTTTTTTTTTTAAATACTAGGTATTGAACCTGGGGGGTGTTCTAGCCATACTCTGCTTTATCAGTCAGAGTCATTGTGATTGCAGGCAGTGCCACTGTGCCCTGCTATAATGGTAGAATTTTTACAAATCTAATTAGGTAAAGGGAAGGTTTTAACAGGAGCTCTGTGTGGTATTCCTTATCATATCATATAGCTTCCAATATTAACTTCTGGAAAAACCTTTGACCAGAAAAGTAAGACCTGGATTTTAGTCCTATTCTGCTTCTTCTGTTAATTGTGGCAACATACCTAATTCTTTGGATCTCAGTTTTCTCATTTAAATGTTTATTATTAAAATACATGAAGTATAAAGGCTCTTCCCAGCTCTAATAGTTTTTGATTCTGTCACATTTCTTCTCTTCAACCACAAGGGTATGAAGTTAACGAAATGGAAACCTCTGAGACAAGTAAAATTGCCAAGTGCACAGGACATCCCCATGAAGCCTTTCTACATCCTTGGATTAGGGAGAGAGTCCTCACTGTACATTCTGAAAGGGGAGATAAAAGATCGATGTTGAGAGAGGTTTTTATAATTATTATTTTCTTCAAAAGCATACATTCCATTATATGTGTTTATAAATTTTTGGCTGAAAATATTAGAATGATTAAAAATTAGACAAATAAGTTTCACTGTTAAGAGGTTACAGGAAAAAAAGAATGCTGTTTTTCTCTACTTAAACTGTTTACTGAGACAATTAGAACTGACATTTATTGAATACCTAAAATAGACCAGGAATTATGTTATGCATTCAAAAAGCAAAGTTCAAAAGGATCTTATATTATCAAATGCACTGCCCTTTGGACAATGATTTTGGGTATAATTGATATTCATAGTATTCTGCCTAGACTGTTACCTTGATGTACAATAGTGTTTTCCCAGACTTGCTTAGTAAAAAATAGATTAAAAATAAAAGATAGTCACAGGTCTTTGACCAAATATCCCAATGTTTGTATTGTCTTACAGATGAAAGTAGTAAGTCCATTTCTCATCATAAATCTTTTTTTTCTAAATTGTTTTTCTGGACATAGTTCAAGTAGAACAACCAATCTATTTATGTCAGCCCTTGCTCTTTTCAATGACCTCTTATTGAGCAATCTGCTAGATGAAGGGCTGGTTAGCAAACAATAACTTGCTACAAAAACACTGACTAAGGCCTGCCAGGCAGGCATGCTGCTCCACTCTGTTCTCTGGAAATTAGCACCCAAGCTGATTCTAGAAATGGCAGCTTCATGAAATTATTGCTTTACCAGAAATCACCTTAGATGTGGAACTTCTGTCTGATATGCACACTTATGCACACTCACACATTCACAGCTCATCTTACTTGGTAAAATGGCTTGTTGCTTCCAGGTCTGTGTCTTGTGGACGAAGATTATCATACACATATTTCAGGTCTTGGATTCCACTTAGCTCAGGCAGACCTGCATGTAGCATCTTTGTAACAATAAAATCCAAAAACCAAAAAACAAACAAACAAAAAGAGGAAATGCAGAAAAAAAATTAGACTTATTTGTTTTATTCTGATAGGCATATAAACATAAGTTTGCATACAATGGTCTTCAATTTATATATGGGAATGAATGTAGGTTCATGAGTTTTAGTGGTAGAAGCAATAACAACAATAATAAAAAGAATGATTGTAATTGGCAAAATGCTCATAGATTAACAATTTAATTTTATTTTCCTAGTAGACCAGTGAAGAAAACATGAAAATCCTTTTATCCCCATGTCAGAATTTCTGGATCCTCCACTTTAAATCTGAGTGATCTTGAGAAAGTTCCTTAACTCACTGAATTTCTACTTTCTCATTTCTAAAGTAGGTATAAAAATACCCAACATGTTCTGGGAGAATCAAATGGCTAATGAATGAGAGATACTTTTGCACATTTAAAAATATTACACAAAACTTATGTAATATTGTGCATTTTAGAGAAGATAAATTTCATCCCTAGAAAGCTGCAAGTGGCATGTCCAGTTCAAATGATGTGTAACAGCGGAGTATAACACTGTTATACTCTGGTGCTTAGTCCTTTCTTTCTTCATGACTCTGTGGCTCACTCTTACATTGCAGTTTTCCCTAGTTGAATGGTGACTATATTTATTAAAGATTATTAAGTAATGAAATAATAAGAATAAAATTGAACAGGTATTTTTCTGCTAATCTTCAGAAAAGTACTTTGTTTACCTTTCGCTGTGGACTGAAGGGATAATATTCTCTTTAGTTGTAGGCAAAATTCTCAGAGAAAAAAAAATAGGTCTTTTTGAAACAAATTTGAACTTTTTCAAGAAAAAGAAAACTATTTTTCAGGACCTCTATGACTAAGATGATAAATGATTTCCTGTTCTGAAATAGAGACAGTTTTACAATGAGTAGTTAATCCTAATAATCAAGGACAAAGTGATTACGTGGTTGTGGTTGTAGAGGAAGGGTGAAGTTGTATTTGATCTGATGAAGTTTGAATGAGAAAAATGTGGGTTTGAAAATGCTCTTCTTTCCCACAGTCCCCACCCAGGTTGAGGGAACAGCATGTATGAATGTACAAAGGAGACCAAGATGTTTTTACTGTGCTTGCAAAAATAAATCCAGGAAGGTTTTCTGGAAAACAGAGAATTATATGTCTGATCACCAAGAGATGGGGATGAAAAAACAAACAGGGTAGAGAATTTTACAATATTAAAGATGTGTGCCATATCCTAAAGTAAGAGAGATGTTTTTACATTTGATTGAAAGAACTGACTCTGTTTCAGAAAGATCACCATGGTTGTGTATCAAAATTCATTAGGCAGGGTCCACGTAAGAGGATGGACTAGAAACTGGTTTGGAATGGAGACATTACTGGATCTCAAATATATGTAGAAAGTAGAATTGGGAAAACTGATTGATTGAATACATCAAGAGAGATGAAAAGAGTCCAAAGCACACAGCTGTAAATATAGATTTGGGAATCATTAGCACACAGTTGATAGCTGAAACCACAGAAATGGATCAGCCAGTCCTGGAGAGTTGCCAACTGCCTCTCCTCATGGGCGACTGGGTGGCATTTCAAATTCACCATATCTAAATTTGAGTCAGTTCTATAAATCTTTCCACCTTTTTTCCTGTTTCATATCTCCATTTACACTGTCACCTTTGTGTAGCTGACAAGAAATTCATATTTTCTTCCAATCCCTATTTTTCCTGATTTTCATAGTCAATCACTTAATTCTATGAAAAAATTTCAACAGACTCTGGGATGCATTCCCCTGTGTTTCACTGCGACTACCAGTGTTCTAGTTCAGCTCTTTATCTTCCTTTGCCTAGGTTTCTTGAATAATTTCTCGAACCCTTGAATCTTTAATCCCATAAATTGATTTATCTATCTAACATCCAAGAAGGACAATGGTACTGTCTTCTCTATAAACAAACATACTCCTCTTATTTTTTAAGGGTCTATGTATTAAAGTCTAAACCTCATTCTGGTCATAAATGACTTTTATAATCTAACTGCAATATCACTTCAACCTTGTCTTTTCCTACAGAGGCCTCCATCTGTACCACAGACTAGGCACACTTGATCACATCCATTTCCAACACATGCTGTACCCAAGCTCTTAAAACTGCCATGGATACTTATATACCTCCCCCAACTCCTAGTCAGTAATGCTTTTCCTCTCCTTCCTTGGCTACTGAAAATCTTTTACAGTGCTCCACTTAAATACTTCTTCCTCCTTGTAGCATCACTGATCCTCTTGATGAGGTTTAATTACTGCTATCTTTGTACAGCAATCATATCTTGGCTCTACCTTTCACAGAACTAATTCCTAGCTTTTACTATGTGTTGTTTATGAAGGTTTTTTTAATGTTAGATTTTAAGTTTTTTGAGAGCAGAAATTGAACTTTTATTCAGTGTTGATCTATCTATATTGCTTAGCATGGTGCTTTGTAAATAGTTGGAACTTCATGTATGTCTGTGGAATAATGCATGAATGGGTGAATGAATAAATGAGTGAATAGAAAAAATTCCAGATGCTATTAGGCTTTGAAAACATGCTACTAGCAAAGTCAGCACTGACTGACTACTAAACTTACCAAAATCAACCACAGGGAGACACATTCCCAACAGCAATTAGAATCCAGATTAGGTTTTATCTCATCATCTCTGTACTTAGAGTCCTAGAGACATCTGCGTACTTATTGAAGCAGATTTCTTTTTTTATCCCACCATGATCATTCATTAGCTAAAAACAGGCTTCTTCTCTAGAGCTTATGTTGGATTCTAGTCTTACTTGAATACCCTGAATTGACACCTGCCTGGCCAGGACTCTGTCAAACATTTCTTTTAGAAGGTAGGTGCTACGTTTACTCTTTCCTCTGCCTACACAACACACACACACACACACACACACACACACACACACACATTATAGTGCATCCAAGTACAGACCGTCAAAGCAGATGCATTTCTCTCTCTCCCCATTTGTCCCTGAGTAAAGGTGGCCAGTGCTAAGTTTACCATTAGTAATGTTTCCCTTTCTTGGAGAGGAATGGAGGATGTGGGTGTTGTGATTGAACCTTACAGGGTGCTGATGGCCCCTGGTAGCTGAACCACTTAGCCATATCTGTTCTCTGCCCCCTGGCAATGTGGTTCAAGTGCCTCCTGGTCTAGACTGCATGGGCAATTTCTGTAACTGACTACATGGGCAATTTCTGTAACTGGGGCAGTAGGGAAGGGAAAGATCAGGTAGAACAGGCATTGGACAGATGTAGATAATGACTAGATAAGTAACTTTTTATAAGGACAAGAGCATTTTTAAAGTTTCTATTTCTGTTCTTGTCCTACTAAGTCCAAATCTATTTTTATAGCTTTGCTTAGAGAGGTAGGCAGTCTTCCCTGCATCATAGAGAAACTAGTAAGATTTCTGCAGGGAAATATCTGATATAATAATGGGTGTAATAAACATTTTAAACTGGGTGAATGGTCCTTGTGTTCTTTTGGAGTCTTTCATAATAGTTGATATTGATTTTTTAATGAGAGAAAAGCTGATGAAATACAGGCTTTTATGTAAGTGAATTCAGCCACTAACACTCTTGGGTCTCCTAGAGATGTTGCTTTTAAGTAAGATGGGAATTTCATAGATTATTTTTTTCCCAGGAGGAAATAAAGAACACTGAAAATATCTGTAAACCTGCTCTGCTCTCTGCTGAGGATGAGTCAATAACTCCAGAGTGAACCCACCAAATACCCGTGGCTAATAACACTGGGTACTGACCATTCATGGAAGATAGAATTTATGGCCCATGCCAAGTATATCTCAAGTTGTAAATGGGCCATGGCTTATTAGATTGAATTATTTTAAAGGAATTTAACACCACAAGAATCAGCTTGAGACAGAATTGAGGGGAAGGTAGATACCTGCATAAGTGAAAAATAATCTTTCACAAATTTAAACTTGTTTTTTATTTTATAAGAAGGTTTACCAGAGAACCTGTGGTCCTGAAACCTTCACTAAATGCTTTATCTACGGAGTCCCATAAGATATACCCTTGAGAAAAAAAGAAAGGAATTTAAAAGTAAATGATCAAAAACTGAGGAAACAGCACACTGATGTTTTATATTTGTTTATGGGTTTAACTGGTCCAGATTGCTTCTCTTCTGTTTCAGTTTAATAGTCTAAATCAAAGATCATATGCTTAATCTGAATTAATACCTTCCATTGTCAACACTTTTTCCTTAGCCTAAAAGTCAAGCCTTGATTAAATTAGAACATAGAACAATTTTTTTTTAAATATATTATATACCAGAAACTTGCAAAAACTAAAGTATTTATGAGGAATTATTTTGAATAAATACCATGTATCTATTTCCTTTATATGAAATAGCTTTACATATGGAATGACATTAATGATTATTTAATAAATTATAACACATTTTGAATCTTTTTTAAGGTATGTAGAAAAATTTATTAAACAAGAGAAAAAACCTACCAGTAGCTTTCTGAATCTATTTTTTGAGAGGTTGTCCTTTCATATTATTTAACTTGCTAAATTGTCATCCAGCATAATTTTAGTGTCACCTGAGAAGCTATATTTGTGTTTTTCTGCTTTAGGTATATTTTTGAAATGTCTTTGGTAAGGCAGTTGGTAAAATTTGGAATTACTCCTTTTATGCAGTTGTTTATAGCATTATAGATATTTTGAAATGCTGGACACCTCATTTTCTTGTATACACAATTTTAGCTCCCTTACTAAATTCAAAAAACTTTAAACTCTGACTAGGTCATATACATTGACATATCATTTACAGTGTCTGTCATACAGTAAGCATACAGGAGCTCATGGATTCATGAATTGATCTTGCTAAAGTCTAAGGGGATATTAGAGTTGATACTGCCTCTATGTTGGAGTCAAGTTCACGGACTTAGTCCTTGTTGAGTTTGCTTTGTGGTATGAACTCAGCTTATTATAATCTGTAAGCCATCCCATGCAGCACCATGGTCTGATAGAACTGGGAGAGAGAATACAGACTATCGGTATGAATCATTGGCTGTTTTTGGAAATTCAATTGGAAGACTCTGGAGATGGTCAGAACCTTCTGTATTCAGTTTACATAAGAAGAAACCAAAGTGTCTTTTTACATGAAGGACATGTTTCTAGTATTTTTAGAAATCTTTATTTTTCAAGGTAGAAAGAAGTACAGTGGCTATGTTGTTTGAAAGTTAAAACCAGACTCCAAATTGTTGCAACAAAGTCAACATTTATTCAGTAGGACTAGCTAGAATTTTTCTGTGATGATGGAGGATGTTTTTATATCGGTGCTGTCCCATATGGTGCCACTTGCCACAAGGCTTATTGAGCATTTTAAAAGTAACTCATAAAACTGGGCATGCTGGTGCCTATCTGTAATCCTAGTGACCCGGAAGACTAAGGCATGAGGATCACAAGTTCAAGGGATCCTCAGCAATTTAATGAGACCCTGTCTCATCATAAAAAATAAAAGAGAACTGTGTATGTAGCTCAGTGGTAGAGTCTTCCTGGATTCAATTCCCAGTACCAAGAAGGAAAAAAAAAGTTGCTAGTGAGATTGAGGAACTGAATTTTTAATTTACATAATAATAATTTAAATTTAAATGAGATTAGGTTTAATTTGACCAGAGGATACTGTACTGAACAGTGTTCTTGTAAAGTAACAAGAATTTAGCATAATAATATTATCCAATTGAACATTACTATGTGACAGGTACTATTCTAAATGCTTTATATTAGTTATCAATTAGGATTATTATGAATTTAATCAATTAATATCCATAAAGCATTTACAACAGTGCCCGGTCTGGGCAAAGTATTCATTATTAGATCATTTATTCATCAACTCTACAAGGTAGATGCTATTATCTTCATTTAGTAGTATTTTTAGGATTAGGTAACATACTCTGAGGAATGGAATCTGTAAAATGTCAAGCTAGATTCAAACTCAGGGAGGCCCAACCTCTAACTCTATGCCTTTAATAACATCTAGCAGATTTATTGTCCTCTGAAAGCTTTTAACCACTTTGAATTGACTCTATGCCCCACACTGATGGACCGTGGCATGCTTCTCTCCGACAAATTGATGCAATTACTGGTGTGTATGTTGTAACCAAGGGAATCACATCCTTCTCCCAGAATATCTTTCTTTCAGGCTACCCCCTCCCATGTAACTCTTCTTCATCTCTTTGGATTGAACAGAGGAAAGAAATATTAAATTTCCCCTATTAGTCAACAGAGCATATAGGATCATGTCTCAATAGACCCAATATATACCACTAAATGTACTCTTCTCTGAATTGCTAGCAAGTCACTTTACATTTTGACTCTTAGTTTCTTAATCTAAAAAATAGGCAAATGGGCAGAGATTGGAGGAAACCAGGAAAAATTATTGCTTGGTCTGCATCATTAGGTTGCCATGGATATGTAAAGGAGAGAATTTTTAAGCATTTTTGAAAAATACTACTGCACAATAAAATCTCAGGTGCTTAAAAACATTAGTGTCCTTGAACCTGAGTAAAAATATACTGGGATAACCTCTGAATGCATCAATATTGTTGGGAATAGGAAAATTTGAGACAATAACTATTATTATTAATAGTTCAACATATTGAATTATCAAAAGTGTGTTTAGAAGCTGTTCCATAGTCCTCTCAGTTTGTTCATTTCTTTCTGTTCTGAAAAGCTCTTTGGGGAACACCAAGCCATTAGCAAAAATAGACTACTGAGAGAGAGACCTGAATGAAGCTTATTATTTTCGTTATTTCCCCAAAGGACTTACCATTTCTAGCAGGTTCAAGAGCAGTTGGCTGTGTTTTCTGACAATATTATATGCTCTACAGCAAAGCTCCACAAAATCTTGGAAATGTTGTGGGTTTTTTCCACCCTCTGTAATAAAGTACTCCATCTCTGATGTAAAAATAAAAGGGGCTCGGTCCCTATGAACCAAAAACAATAGCAATTGTAAGAGAAAGGAGAAATGGTTTGTAGGTTAAATTATGCAGTTGTAACTTATTTCCGCTTGAATTTTGTTGTGATTTTTTCTCTTTGCTCTAATGGATGAACCTCCTTCATTGGTTGATAGCTGGAGAAATTTACTAACTGAGGGCTGCAACAGAGGAAAGGATATTATGTTACTATGTTGATCTATATTATCTCAAGTGTTTAATTCACAATTATATTTGAATGGGAATATCATCTATTAAAATATAAGATCAAATTAATAAGAAGATAATATCTATGCAAAGTCTTTAAAGAAAGTATATTTACTGTTAAATTTTAAAATGATAAAACAGATCATGATTTTGACCTTCCCATATTTTAAAAAAAAGATTCTTTCTTCTTAGAAGATAGCTTGACCTTTTGGAGAAAAAATGTTTTCAGTAAAAGCTAAGATATTGTAATAAAAGTTCTTTTAGAAAGCAAATTATGAAAAAAAATAAATGTTACCAATTTACTGTCATATCCTTAGTAGGGAAAAAGGTAGCTATATTTCATTTCACACTAGACCCAATAAAAATGCTGATCAGATAGGAAGAACAGGAACAGGCCATGTTGTTATATAAGTAATACTGCCCCCTGTAGTCTCAAGGATGGAAAAACCAGAGAGATGGTGGTCCTGTTTCCGTAACTTTCCATTTTTTATTATGTTATTTGAGAACTGGAGAGGCCCAAGATGAAGTGTTAACACTTCTAACAGAAACAGTAGAGAGAAGATTGAAGACACCTCTCTTGGATGAAACTCACTATTGGATAGTGAAATGGTAAAACAGTTTTGATACCAGTTTGTCCTGAGTTCTAGAAACATTTATGGTGGGAATATAGTTTTGGGTAAAAATTATTTAAAAAATGAAGGTCTTTTAAAAAATGGATTGGAATAAAGTGTTTTTTAAATTTGAGTGTAGCAGCTTAGATACAAATAAGGTTAGACCAAGTCATAATAGAAAAGTTGCAGATTTTGAGGTAGGCCTTTTATTTTTTAAAATAAAGAAGAGTATTTTTTATTGTTGTTGCTTAGCTATTTTAGTAAAGATATAAGAGAGTGGAGAATCTCATGAATCTGGCCTTTTAGAAGTGTGGATATTTAGATCAGAAAGCTACAACAGGCATTTTGTGGCAGACCTGAGGACATGGACTCCAACTGCAGGCAGAGCATTTAAAAAAATAAAAATAAACTAGCTTTGCTTGGCTGTAGTCATTTCATTTTATTTTAAAATTATATTTTGTGATTCATGTTACCACTGACCATCCAGAAGAGAGGCTGGAATACCAAGACCTTCACTCCACTTTATATTTATCCACTTAGTATTTTTTTTTTTTTTTGAGCATACACTGAGGAATGTGTCTCAACTCCCAAGTCAAAATTTTTAATATTTGGTCAAAATTATTTTTACTGGGCCTTTACTCACTTTCTAACCTATTTTCTATGAATTAACTTTATAAGTCCTTTTTCTTTGGCTAAGCTGGGAGGAGATATGTTGAAAACATGAGATAAAGCATGTGTTCTGACCTTGGGCTTGGTATATCTCAATTTCTTCCTCTTTAAAATGGGTCCATAATATCCAGCTCTTAGAATGGCTGTGAGCACTACCTGGGAAGATGTAGGTCAATGCCTCACACATGGAGAGAGCTGTGCACTGAGAAGGGCAATGAGTAGGGACACTGTAGGTAGAAAGCAGGGACTATAGGCCCTATGGGCCAGGCTTCAAATCAGGTTCCTGCCACTGATGAGTTTGGGACCCCAGGAAGGTTATCTTATGCAGACCTTCATCTCCTCCTTTGTAATATCAGGAAGAAAGCACTTGACTCCTGGATTGGATGACTTAAATGACTTAAAGCATGTACAAGTGCTTAGAACACAAGCCTGACATACAGGAGGCATTCAACAAATTTTAGTTATTGTTGTTGGTTCATAAATGACCAATATGATTCTCATAGCTGAACCTTATCATAGATACATCTCTGTCTTCTGATTCAAAAATGCCATCCAAAAAATCCCATCTTTACTTTAAAGTTTAATTTATTCCCAGTGTGTCTATGGAAACTCTGTGCTGCATGAATGGACCTTTGAATTTGGAAATATTTTTATATATCACTAACCTTGTAGTCATCACTACTGCTGACATGTAGTAGAGTTCTAGTGACTTCCATAATCAGAAAAAAGATCTTAATTTTATATGTAACAGTTTTCCAATTTTTTTTCCTACTCTCTATATTATGTTTACTACCTTGAATGGAACTTTGGAAATAATTTTACATTTTACAGATTCATAAAAATTTTCCTTCTGATATGCTATATTTACCTTTTTTTTCTTTTCAATAGGAAAAAATATAATGGATCAAACTGATTTCTCTCTTGGAAAGTTTTTGAAATTATGCTCAATTTCATGAGATAACACATCCTTCTTCTATGGAGCCACCATTATAAATCAGACACAGAAAAAACATGCAGAAAGCAAGTATATAAAGAAGCATATCAAACTTAGAGAAAACTATAAACTAATTATAAAATTGGAGAAACAAATTGTATGTATAAACATTATCATAGTCTAAATGTTCAGTAAGTCCAACAAAATTAAATACTGTATCTTTTCTGTGTAATTTTTAAGGCATACTTCTAAGAAATTTTATTTTAAAAATTCAGAATTATACTAAAACTTTTCTATAAATGAAAAGAAGCCTCACAAATGAAATAGAATCTGATTCCACTCCTATAAGCTGTAGGAGTTTTAATTGTGATTTAGTTTATCAGTTGACTCAAATGCACACCTAATCCTAGGTTGTAGAATTAAGGTTTTAGAGTGTATCTCTGAAGTTCAGAATTACATGCCAATTTGATATATAAATTGGTTGGGGCAAAAAGGAAGGTTGGAGATTGATCTATCAGAGTTATTACATTACAAATAATATGTTGAAAATATCTCATTTATAGGTATATAAATACACTACAGAACTTTTTTATTGTGACTATCCTACATTAATTTCTAGATTAGTAATTTTACGATTGTTTAAGATCTACCCATTCTCACTTTTGTGTCTTTTACCTGTATTTTTTCCCACTCAGTCTTATTTTCTTTTTCTCCCCTGATGCTCTAATGCTGATTTAGAGATCAGGATCAAAATATCTTTTTTTTTTTTTTACTAGAAGAAAGACATCTTCTCTAATTAACTTATCCCTTGCTAGAAGTCTTAGGATTTTTTTCAACCCAAGGGATATGTGTGATTTTCAAGAGAAGAGGAAGTATTCCTCCTTCCTTTTATATAGTCTTAGTATCTGATACACTATTTTGATGATATTCTCTTATATATAATGAATGTAATAATACATTAACATCATTCTACAGGGAGGGGCTTGTGATAATTAAACACTTATGTGGGAAGACCATGTGAACAAACTTATTATGATTCTATCATTTTGTTGTCAAAATTCAATTCTTTATAAATTTATGACAATTTTTTCCA